CATTAGTTTCTGTTATGGATCAGTATCAACAGTCCTGCCAGTAACGTTACTATATTATCAATGCTACTTTAGTTATAGCCTGATATATGATAGCTAACTTCACAATGTTGTGATGTGACGTTAGCTAACATTCTGTAGCTAACGCCGGTCACTCACCAAGATAGCTGCCCAGTTCTCCACTGGTTCTCCTCACACCACAGCTCAATTTCTCTCCGATGGCCGTTATTTCTTCTAATCCTTGGCTGCTCCTGGTCTCTTGGACGCCTAGCAGGCTCATAATTATAAGGTTGTGGTCCGTCATATGCATTCGAATATTCATGTTCAACTTCTTCTGTGTCAAAACTAGCATTGGGATCCATGTTTATTAATACGTTACACCGGCCGCTCTCCCCCTTATGTCCCCCATGTTACGTCACACGCGGGAGGTCACGTGCCGAGGCTTTTTTTTTGCGGAAGTGAAGATTTCTTACAAAAACGACGCCAGATGTCACTGTCGTGTATATTTCTGTATATTTTTTTGAAAATCTAGTGTATTCATCATTTTCCTACACATTTATTCACAGGTTTCTTTAACCTGGAAGTTGCTCTTTAAAGAAAACGTTCAGTGAGTGTTTCGTTGGATGCGTCAGCTGTTACACACCTCACACATGACAGACCGCTGCAGTGGTAAGTCGTCCACCTTCACAAAGTCTTCCTCGTCAGATTTCTGACTCGTGTTACCGGAGCCCATCTCCTGCACCAATGAAAGGTAGAAGGTCAGATCACAACAGCACCGATAAAGGGCGTTCAGTTTGTTATTAGAAAGTAATGACGCAGTTAAATCGGATAATGTGATAAATATAAATATCCTGAGTTCTATTTTTTTAAGCTTGGACTTACATCTACGTTGATCATGACGGGAGAGTCTGAGTCCGGGCTGCTCGTGGTGTGGGTCTCCTTGGGGTCCTGGTGATGGGAGACTTCATCAGATGGTTCTTCAGAGGCAGCAGCTGCTCCTCCTCCTCCTCCTCCTCTCTCCTCCTCAGCGCTCTGACCCTCCTTCATGTCACGGTGCTCTGCAGTCACAGCTGCTGAGTCGTTCATTTCTGCAAAACAATGAAAATCTGCTCTAATTAATGGCCTACAAAAAGAAGGGTCTAAAACTACAAAGTCTCTCTCAGACCGAGCCAGCTTGACTCTTTATTAGCCTGAACGACATTTCCACTGTAAGCGCCTCACCGTCATGGATCTCTGAACTCCTGTGCTCAGCTCTGCTCTCGTGGGTTTGGCTGAGCATCGTCTCCTGAAGCGTCAAACAACAACAGGCTCAGACGGATAATAAATGTGTTTAATAATCAGAGATATTTGATATAAAAACTATAACTTAATGGCTAACTGTATCACTGACCTCCTGCTCCACCTGTCCATCAGCAGAAGCCTGCAACGATGTCTGGACATCCACAGGTCCGGCTTCAAACTCCTCCATTTCCTCCTCCTCGTTCTCATCCTCCCCGCTGCCGTAGTTAGTCAGAGCCTGAGTCTCTGCTTTGGACAGACCTGGCAGAGTCACAACACAATGATGGCAAATGTGTGAGATGAATGCAGGTATCCACAGCAACACATCATTACATTAGACCATATTTAAATGTTATAATCCATAATCCAGTCCTTTTTAGCATTTGATAGCGAGTTATGCTTATTTTAACAAAGCTACTGATATTACATCCTGATAGAACATTATTGTCAACTTTTCACTGACTGTCACTGATAAACCATTTCAAATTCTTGAGTAGATTTTGTTGTAACTTACTGAACAATGTATCCTGGCATATAAAGGATAACAACACATCAGATTTGACAGGATGTTTGGCTTTATCAAAGAGGCCTTTATGATATTTCCACTTACTGATTGACAGACGGATTCCCTGACCGTCCTGCTCGTCCTCCTCTTCGTCCTCCCCCTCTGACGCTTCACTGCTCCTGGTGTTCTTCCTCTCCCTCTGCAGGTACAGCTCCTGGAGGCTGGCCGCTCCTTCCTGCTCGGCCTCATCTTGGTCCTGGAGGAACAACAACAGAGACATTATTGTAACACAGATTACTGAGGTTCTAAGTGGTATCGACCATTTCATTATCGCTGTTTAAATGACTGACCTTGTCTTCATCAGTGTAGGCCGGAGACATTGATGTGTCAGCACCTGCTACTGTATTTTCCTAACGGGTGGAAAACATTAACATAAAGAGTGTAATTCAGTCTCAGTCAAACAAATGCCCGCGCAGCATCGTTTACTTTTTCCTCATTCATACTTCAGGGTTCACTTTTTCACCAATGCTTCTCCATGACTTCTCCATGACCTTTACCTCATTTTCCATGAACAAAACAATTACTCTTACTCAGCGGTACCACTGAAAATGGTTTATTTTAACAGGGAACAGGAAAATAAGGTGTGAAACTTGTTGTGCCTTTCTAAAACAAATCAAATAGTAGGCTTACTAGCTTCTACACGCTAAAGCAACTCAAATCTCTCACCAGCAAAATACCTCCACAGTTAAATGCCATTTTACGTTTCATTAGTATACGACAGTGTTTCTCAAACTTTTTCATACCAAGGACCACTTAACCAATAAAAAAACACTCGCGGACCACCTGACTCCACAAATATCAAAAAACACATCGCTTTTCTAGAACAGATTACAAATCGCCTGAAAATGGTACAAACAAGTGGCAACATGTGTGATGAAGGTGTTGCGCTGTGTTGCTCATGCAATCGAGAGTGAAACTTAAACCATTCCCGCGTGAGTGCGGAAAAACTGAAATTTATTTATTTATTTAAAATGTGAAATGTTACCAATATACTCACTGACCACTAGGGGGCGCTCACGGGCCACCAGTGGTCCGCGGACCACACTTTGAGAAGCACTGCTATACGATACAGTAATTACTGTCATTATAGTATTACTATTTCGGCGATTAGATCAAACATAAATTATATTTGATGCAACTTTAGTTACATTTCCATGACTTTTCCAGGGCCTGGAATTAGCATTTTGAATTTCCATGACTTTTCCAGGTTTTTAAAGACCGTAAAAACCCTGATACTTATATTATATGATAAAAACTACAAAGCCTGAATTTATAAAAACGACTTACTTTGAGACTGTTCTTCGCTCTCATTGGTGGCTCAGCCCTCTTCTTATTCTTGTGTTTGGTTGCCAAGGCGATGCTGCTGCTGCTGTCCAAATCCTGCATGAGCCTAAAGAAGGCGAGTTCATTGAAGAGGATCTCGGAGATCTCCACCAGAAGATCTTCGCCACATTCGTTTAGAGTACGCCCAACAAATTTACTGAGCGAGTCCTGGAGGAGAGAGGGAGGGAATGTCAGGAGAGCTGTGGACCGTCCTCTCTGCTTAGACTCGTGTCCCCTCGAGGAGGCGGGTGTTTTGATACCTGCAGTATGCCTCCCAGCTGTCTGTGGAAGAAGCGGACAAACTCTTTGCTTTCATCGTTCTGTTGGGTGAGAGTGAGGACCATGCGCCGCACAGATGTCAACAGCTGGAGGGAACACACCTCATCCATGTTCTCCTAATAACAAAACATCGACATAACAGAGTGGTTTAACCCTGTTCAAATTCACAGTGCTGCAGCCAGTAATGAAGACATATTCGTTTTACCTTTAAAAAGCTTTTAGCAATTAATTACCAACAAGAATACTTTGAAAAATAATAACTAAATCATCACATTTGAAATTTAAGTGCATTTTCTACTGGTAAGAATGTGACAACAATCCGCCCTGCCGCTCTGTGTGTGTTGTCCTACCTTAAGGAAAGGAATGACTTCTGTCATGATGGCTTTGATCTGACGGTCCAGCTGCTGGGTGTCGATCTGAGGGCAGTGCACATCACCAGCTGCTCCTCCTGCACACAAATCAGTATATTGAATATTTATGCTAAATGAAACAGCCATTCAAAGGCAAGGATTGTGCTGCTACGGGTCTTTGGTTGAGGTGTACTCAGGAAGGCCATGAGATGAGGTACCTTCCACTGGGGCAGCAAGGGAAGCAGAAGGATGTTCAGCAAGTAAGAGTTCACCTGCACCCGCAGAGCTGCCATTGAAGGGGTTAGACTCAGCTTTAAGCTTCATGCGCTCATACTCCCTAATCCTGGCCAGAGCTTTGTCTAAATGAATCACTGTGTTGCCTATCAGAGCAGAAAAGAAAGGAGAGTGAAAAAAGAGAAAGAAAAGGGATACAAAAGTTCAAAATCAATGAGGCAAGAGAGAGAAGGCAGTAATGGATATGAATGCCTCTCGTACCAGGTTTACACGACAGGATCACACGTAAGTAAGCCAGCTCCTAATCTGTGTCACTCCTAATCTGTGTCACTGAAGTGCCCAAACTCATTTCTCTAAGGTCGTTTTCTTTACTTTGAACATGTGATGTTGATCCTGAGGTGTAAAGTGGTTTATTTAGTTGAAAGGCCATACGCAAAGCAGTTGAACACCCAGATGTGGAAGCAGTTTCAGATAGGTATAGCTTCAGCCCCAAAATAATGTCTACATGCATAACCGTACCCAGGTCATCGTTAGCAAATGGTTCGAGGTTGGAGGAGGTTGACATGTTGCTGTCATTGCCCACAGATTCTGCATCATCCCTTTTCTTCATCATGAGCCTCAGGTTTTTCTCCACCACCTCCTGAAAAAGAACAACATCCAGTTTTAGGCACCGGCAACATATCTGACAAGAGAATGGACCACAAACTGTTTGGTTCATAGAAGAAAGGATGACTATAGAGGCAAGAGGTTTTTCAGCATATGTCGACTTCTCTTGCCATTCTTTAACATCGGAAGTTAAACATCATCCATCATTCCTGAACAGGCATTATTGAGACAGAAAAAAGGACCCGTCACCCAATTAGTAGAACTCGAGGGACCTTGGTCGAGAACAAAGAACACATGTCTGATGTGGCAAAAGAGACATGGAGAGATGAGGGTCATTATTTTATAGACAGGTTTCTGAAGCCATGCTGTCAAGTTGAATTCAAAGACAATGAAGACGGTGGGAGGGAAATGAAAATGAGAGAATGAAGAGAGACATGTAGAGATGAGAAGAGACAAGAAGAGACAAGGAGGACGAAAGGAGGCAAGGCTGAGAGAAGCTAATTAAAGATGTATTGAAATGAAGAATAGGGGGAGGATGCCAATAAGGATTGAGAGGAATACTTTAGGAGTGGTATAAGCCTCAATATGGAGGGACACAACCTATTAAAGGGTTAAAATCCTGAAAATTATTTAATATTTGGTATTTTTGATCAGGATTGAAGTTGATTGAAAGATTTAGCACCAAAAAGTTTTAAAAATATTAATCTGTTATCATTTTAGAGCAGTTTTTGGAAGTGGACATTTTTGTCCCGAATGACTAATGTAGGAGTTTTTTGTTTAATCTAATTCTGTGCAAAAACTAATAATGCACAAAAATCAATGTTGTTGGTAATCTTTGACATATCCAAGACTGTGATAAAAAAAAGCCACCCCCCCCCCCAACATTTATTATATGGAAAATAACTGCCTTTTTTTGTACGTTTTTCATAGAAAACGCAAATTCATGTTTTCAAACTGGCAGTTAAAGGGTTAAAATCCTGAAAATAATTTAATATTTGGTATTTTTGATCAGGACTGAAGTTGATTGAAAGATTTAACCCCAAAAAGTTAAAAAATATATTAATCTGCTATCATTTTATAGCAGTTTTTGGAAGTGGGCATTTTTGTCCCGAATGACTAATGTGGGAGTTTTTTGTTTAATCTAGTTTTATGCAAAAACTAATAATGCACAAAAATCAATTTTCTTGCTAATCTTTGACATATCTAAGACTGTGATAAAAAAAAGAGCCAGTCCCAGGATATGATTTATATGTAAAATAACTTGTTTTCTCTGTTTTTATCTTTTTTTTTTTAAACAACAGCGGTTTCATGTATTCAAAATGGCATTTAAAGGGTTAAAATCCTGAAAATGATTCAATATTTGGTATTTTTGATTAGGGCTGAAGTTGCTTTAAAGATTGAACCCAAAAGTCTTTTGCAGT